CGGGTGGCCGAGCCCTCTGCAGCGGGAGCGGGGGCGGCGGAGGGTGCCTCGGTGCGGGGGGGGCCCGGCCTGGGGCCTGGCTCTCCCGGTAAAGCCTCCCCTTCCTCAGGCCGCGGGGAAGATGACGGCGGAGCGGGGTTACTGGAGCAGCCTGACGCCGCCGCAGAAAGCCGCGGTGGTCCTGGGGATCCCGGCCGGCGCCGCCGTCCTCTACATCCTGTACCGCAGGTACCGGGAGAGCCGAGGTGGGTGTCGCGGCCCCCCGTGTCGCTCCCACCCTTCCCACGTGTGGGCTTGGGCCTTCAGCTGCCTCCCCCTGCCCCGACCTCCCCTCGCCTTCCCCAGACGTGCCCCTGGAATTTCCAGAGCTGGTGGGCCCCCTCCCTGGGGCCGGGGAGGCTGTTGGAGTAGCTTCGCCCGCTTTGAGTCTCCCTGGTGCTGTTTGTAACCCCCCCGGGATGGCGGTGGCTGTGGGGACCCGCTGCCGGCACCCTGTCCCGCCCCCCTGCCGCTCTGCCCTCAGAGGAGCGCCTGACCTTCGTGGGAGATGAGGAGCTGGAAATGGAGGTGCGAGTCCCCCGGGCGGCCGTGAAATCCATCATCGGCCGGAAGGGAGCCACTATCAAAAAGGTAAGTGATGCCAGAGGCTCACGGGGGTGACGGGAAAGGGCCAGGTCGCTCCTGCGGGACGTTTACTGGGAGCCCCAGTAAATGGCAGCGTGGGGGCTGGTCCCCCCTGCCCTGTGCCCGCAGCTAAGCCAAGAGACGGGGGCTCGCATCGACGTGGAGAGAGAGGACGAGGGCGAGGAGACGGTGCTGCTGATCTCGGGCTCCCCCGGCCAAGTCTGCCGGGCGAAAGCCGCCGTCCACCAGATCGTGACGGAGAGCGCCCCGGTGTCGGAGCAGCTCTGCGTGCCCCAGACAGCTGTCGGCAGGATTATCGGTACCTCTGCTCCCCCGGGGCCCTTCCACCCCCCCTGGGGAGGCAGGGGACAGCGGGAAGTGTCACAAACTGACCCTCTTGGTGTCTGCGGCGGCACAATTGCCCTCAAAAGCCACGACGGCGTGAGCGGGTCGGGGCAGGAGGGCTGCAAGGGTTCCCTGCAGGATGGAGGTTGGCTCCTGCTCTGAGTCTGCTCTGCCTCGGTTTCCTGGGGCTTTCCCCTGTCTCCCGCAGGCCGGGGCGGCGAGACGGTGCGGGGCATCTGCCGCAGCTCGGGGGCCAAAGTGCTCTGCGAGCGCGAGGCCGACGCCGGCCTGGCCCCCGTCAGGGTCATCCAGCTCTCGGGGACGCGGAAGGAGGTGGCGGCTGCCAAGGTGAGCGGGAGGCAGCGGGGCAGGGGGTCGGCTCGGCCCCCCAGCCCAACCCTCTCCTCTTCTCCCCCCCAAGAAACTCATCATGGAGAAGCTGATGGAAGACGACGCCTTCCGGAAGGAGCTGGCCCAGTCGACGGCGATGCGGTGCCAGCGCAAGCAGCCCCTGGGCAGCCGACAGGAGCCGGAGCCACTCCCCAACGGGGCGCCGGAGCACGGGGAAGAGGACGGGGGCTCGTCCTGGGGCGAGGGCTCGCTCCTGGGCCGGGCTCCCTTTGAGGAGGCGGAGGAGCTGGAGGATGAGAGTGAGGAGCTGGAGGAGCCGGCGGCAGGGCCTGACGCAGCGGTGCCGAAATTTGAGGGTGAGAGAAGCGTTTGCATCGTCCCCAGGGTGCGAGGGGAAAACCACACTGGGGGGGGATGTGTTTGCTGGGGTCCCTCGGGGGCTGCAGGGCGTCGGGAGCCATTTCCATGGCGCTGGGTCACCCCGGGTTGCCTGCGGCTTCCCCAGGCTCGCTCCCTCTGTCCCCGCTCCATGTGCTGGCGTGGCCGGAGCCGAGGCCGGGCAGGGCGGCTCGGCTGCCTCCCGGGCCCTTTCCGGAGCCATTTGTCCTGCGGGTGGGCCCAGGCGTGTCCCCGCGAGCGGGATCCAAAGGCCTGCCTCTCCCCGACTCTGCGGGAGGCTGGGGTCCCCCTCGGCTGCCCTCACCGGCCCTCACCGGGGCTCCCCACGCTTCGCCCGTAGTTCCCAGCCCTGATTTCAGCTTCCACGCCGACGAGCACCTGGAAGTTTATGTCTCGGCCGCGGAAAACCCCAGCCACTTCTGGATCCAGATCATCGGCCACCGCAGCCAGCAGCTGGA